CCCCAAAACCCCAAAACCCCAAAACCCCAAAACCCCACAATTTTCAGAAGACTTGAAAAATTAATAAAAGATGGAAGAAGACGAATTATTTGCTTCAGACTCAGGAGGAAATGATAGTTGGGATGATGCACATTTTCTCGACCTTTCTGCTCAGAAATCCAATCGCCCCTATGATGATGGATTTGACTTATTTGAGGACAATGAAGAGGAAGATGAAGACCTCAAGCTTTTCGAAAATGAGCTGATTCAAATGAACCCAGAGCAAGCAAAGGTTGAAAATCTTAAAACTCAGCTACTTGAGAATGCTAAGACTGAGTACCAAAGAAAACTCGAACAAGAAGCTAAAAGAGTTCAAGAAGAGGAGAATAGAGTAAAATTCGAATTCTCCAGAGCCTGTCTTTTTCTTCAGTTGGCTAGAGCAGTTAAAATTGCGGAAAATAATTTCTATCCTCATGATGAAAATATTTTAGCCATTTTAGTAAGTATACTCAGTAATAGAACTGAGGATGGAACTCCTTTGGAAGAGCTAAAACCCAGTCAGATCTTGACGCTATTCATGAGCATTTATAATTATTTCTGAGATAAATAGAATGGAATGAGATTTTAGAAACCCAAGTGTGATTGTTAAAAACCTTCTATCTCAGAAGCACAACTCATTGAACCATATCGAATGCTTGCAGATGCTCAACCTTCTTCTGGAGTATTGAGGGTACACGACTCGGTACCTTATCCCAATAGAGACTAAGAGTCTAGAGGATATGGAGTTTATCAAAGTTTCAAGTAAACTTGGAGGAAATAAGAGAGTTTATAACAACAGCAATCTTGGCTTCACAGGCGCTAATAATCCAAGGAAAAGAAAGTTAAATTATTCTAAAAAGACAAAAAATAACAAAAATAAACAGAAGAGAAATGCATGTGAGCCAAGGATTATTAGAGAGGTCAACCAAAGTCAAGAGATTGAATCTGCTATTCTCAGACTTGATAAATTTACATTTAATGGCAATTCTTCCAAAGAGGAAAGTTTGCATGAATGTAAAGAACCAGACTCTCCTAGTAAAAGAAGATCTGACGATTCACCATCTAAACGTATGAAGACAATTTTTCCTTCTAAAATATCCACCCAGTCTGATGAGTCACAATCATCACAAGGTGATTTTGGTATTAAGCCAAAGAGATGGAAATTTAATCGGACAAAGAAGAGGTCTGGGCAAATAAGTAAGCAGAATTATCAATCCCAAGCCAATAGTTCTATTTCCACCACTGAAGAAAGCGTGAAAATAAAGAGCACAAGAAACACAAAGAGTATCTCTGAAGCTAGTGAATTGGAAAGCCCTTCCTTCATCGGCTTTCTTGATTCCTCCTCAGATGAGGAATGTGTAGGCAAGAAAAATTATAAGTTAAAACATCCAATTTTTAAGAATTATGTGGGGCTTGAAGTGTACAATAAGGACACAAAGAGATGGTACCTTGCTGATTTAGCAAATGAGACAGTGATCGATTCCAAACTCTTCGTCGCCAGATACTTAGAGACCACAAGAACTTTCATACTTTTTGCATCAGGAAGTTATCCATTGATGTTTAGGCATAATGACAATGAGTTAAAAAGGATGGTTTATATCAGAGATGTGACAATGAAGTATACATCTTACACAAGACAGGTCTTAATCACCAAGAGTTTGTTCAGCCTAGGAAGGTTACTTAACAACTTTGTAGAAACCTTTACTCCATTTGTTGAGAAATATTGAACCAATCTAACCTTGGTTGAAGCAATCCAGCAAGAAAATGAAGAAATTGAAAGAATTGAGCTTAGTGTAATCCCTGAAACCTATGCTGGTAAATTTCCTTCTCTAACACTTCAGAATACAGGAGACATCCTCAATTTGTGCTAAAGTCCCAATTGACTTTTGAAGTACTAAAGCCCAATGCAGTTCCCTATAAAGACCTTAAATTTACTGTAGAGACCGAGAGAGGCAAAGGTATGTGTCCATCCTAATTCTCTATAGAGACAGAAAATGTGTATCTCAAATCAGATACTATCCTGGTACACACAACGGCGAAATGGAATGAGCTCGGTAGAAGGGTACGCAAGGGTTCTATCCCTCTCAAGTACGCAGAATTCTACGGAAATGACAAATCAAAGAAGGCCAGATACTATTCAGTACATCAGACCGTTGAACTAGTCTATGAAGTTCAGCCTGACGGCAGTCTGCCTCGAAATGATTATAATGACATTGAGATTTTTAATGAAAAGAGGATCCCAAAGGGAACCACTTGGCTGAAGGATATCCCTAGAATCAAATATAACTGTAGAAGTAAGCAGCAGAAATAATCCCTGTAGAGAATGGCATCGAGTTCGTTGAAGTAGTCGTCGGGTTTGAGTCCCACGGCCATCAATCCTTCCCTGTCAAGAATGGGGTCATTGTACATGAAAGAGATGCAGAAAGAGTCAAAGCTATAGCTAAGGTGAAGGAAAAGGAAAGACAAATCAGACTAGAGAAAAAGAAAAGATATCTCTGCAAAAATACTTGGAAGACTTTGATCAGAAGAGTAAGCAATTATCGTAATAAGTTAGGTATGTGCAAAGAGACAAGCTCAGCTTTTGTTTGATAGAGAACCAGAAGAGAGAGTTAATGATTTCCCAGCAGTTTTCAAATAATTCAGTGTCCAAATTCCTTCGCTAATTATTCAATTCCATAGATCTTTTAAGGGGTTTTGGGGTTTTGGGGTTTTGGGGTTTTGGGG